GTCCTCTTTTTTTTTTTTTTTTTTTTTTTTTTTTTTTTTTTTTTTTGGGCGCGCCGGTGTTTTTTATACTTCTTTTTTTTTTTTTTTTTTTTATCTATTTTTTTTGTTCGGCGCGCGCGCGTGTATGTAATCACGCCTATGGTTTGACGAGACCACGCGTGTGGCTTTCGGGAAAAATGTAATTAAAGGATATCGTGTCCATTATGTATACATATATACACACGGAGGCGAGACGAGTCGTAGAAAATTTTCAGTGGGTCAACGCTCCTCGATCCATCAATAGGTTCCATACCTCTTTTTCACAGCGCTCTGTTACGGTGCCGAGTATTAGTGCTCCCAAAAGGTGTAAGTTAATTTACAATATATTTTTCTTTACTCGTGTCAGTGTAATGATTTTTTTTCAGGGTCGTACAGCTTGTTTTGGAAGATTTATACATACATCACGGGTCAACAGTGCGGGCTCGTCGAGAATATAGGTACATTAAAAAAAAAAAAAAAAAAAAAAATTCCAGTAGATGCCACAATAAAGTAAATTCGCTAGTTTGAATAGCGTTGAATTTCGATTCCTCCGAGTTTCGTATACTACATCAACACTTTGGTCGTGCGCAGTGCTACACCTTGGAGAGAGAGAGAGTTTTCGCTGTTTTAGCGTTAGACCGTCCACATGGCTGACGCCCCCCTCATTTTTCGAAAAAAAAGGGCGACCGCCTCCAGTGACACAAAATAGAGGCCGAAGGTCTATGTGTATGCATAATGTAGTGTACACAGGAGCGTAGGGTGAGGCAACAGCCGAAGACGCGGCTCTACACGTCTGCCCCGTCAAGAGAGGTGACGTGACGGAAGGGATGCGACGACCCTCGGGGTGTGGCACCTTTTTACCAACTCGTAAGTCGCAACGGCGTCATTTGACTTCTCGTCCGTCTGCCTGACCGACTCCGCGCGAGAGATGAAAAGTCTCGGTCGAGACACCGCACCTCATTGTTGATGGGGTGGTATTCTTTGCACTCGAGAAATCCTCGGGTGGGGGCGCACGTACCACCTTTACATATACAAATATGGGATCGATTTGGATTTTGATGAGTTTTTCTTTGTTTGGAGCCCCTTTGTCGTTGGGCAGGTGGGATAATTTGTATTGTGGTTCCTGACGTTGGTTCAACATTGACAAACCCGCGTCCCGAGCTATAACTGATAGCAACATGATTCGTACTATCGAGAAATAGCTACATCTCAAAATATCCATTCGTCCTCGACTAATTGTATTTTCCAACAAAACTAGTACGCGGTTGTTATCCCATGCCCAAAGCTAGAGCACGTATATTGCAAGTGGTTCGTTGGCCAGAGATTATATATGTATGTATATGCTGTACGTGTAGTGTGCGAAAGGTAGTGGGTGTATATATACACGGATTTCAGAGGAGGGGTATGTGTAGGAGAGCGCCCGGAGCAGTGACAAGAGCCGACGATATAGCCGTCGGATCATAATTTTCGTACTTTACGGCCGCGCATCGGGCAGTAAAACGCGAGTTGGAGAGCGAGAGAGCCCGGGGTGGGTGTAGGCGTCGCCCTGCAAACTTTGTGTTTTTTAATGACGATTTTCGACCGATTTTTTGTTTTTCTTTTTGTTTTGTATTTAGTTTGTTCTCTTCTTGAAAGTAGGTACAGTATGGATGAGTGGAAAGGAACACCTTGATTTGTCACCGGCACTTGCCAAAGTATACTTTGCACGATTTATTTTTTCGATGGTTTTCTATGCTCGAGAGAAAATTTCTTTCCTCGTTCGAACAGATTTATTATTAATACCTAAAAATCGTTTTCATAACTTTCATGCTTCTCGTCGGGTTAAACGTCATAATTATTCATTCACAAAATCATAAAATTACCAGCACGTAAGAGTGTCGAGTGAAAGTGTCGCATGACAATAGTAATAATTAATTCCGAGCTGTAAAGGATATGATATTTAAGCTCGTAAGTGATTATACCTTTCTGATTTAGTTAAAGTCATTTAAAGTCTACTTATAAGCTGAAAAATCATACACGGCGTATTATTCAATTATTGTGTATTTTTTTCAATTATATATTCACAAGTACTTTTAATGAAATAATTTAAAATTAGTTTTGAAAACATTTTGAATTTTCATTAAATGTTCCTACAAAATTTAATTGACTCGAAAATTTGTAAGAAAATTTCACAAAGTCAATATTACGACTAGTACAACTAACTGCTGTAGGATTTTTGAAAAATTAATAGATGGTAATTAAAATGTACCACAACTCAGAAGATATATCTAGCGGTATATTTTTTTTTTATACGATAACTACCTAAAAGTTTGAATGGAATCCGAAAAACTCCTTGAAACTCCCGAATATTATCCTCTGGGAGTTATATTGCACAGCCGTAAAGTGTGATCAGATACAATTTGCGCCCCGATCTCCTTATAACGAGCAGTAGAAATTTGTAGTACAGTTAACAGTTTTGAAGTTATGAAAATAACATAGTAGTTACAAGACCAAAAAAAATCTTCCGTTTCTTGCATAATATATAACCACAACACAGCCCGAAAAGCTTAATCAGTTTTGAATACCTCGATGGTCATTAGACACATATAATATGGGCAAAAAGTAGCTCATGGGTTTAAAGCCAAATATCGTTCCTTTTTATCGGTATTATTTCGCTATACACATGCACGACACTGCAATTTTTTTTTTTTTTTCGTATTTCGAGTTGAAGTTTGATATAAGTTTTACAAGATCGAAGGTGGTAATACCTGTACGCATGTACTCCTGATATTACACCTTTGTAAAAAGATCGGAGCAAACGCATAGATGTACATGCAGATAGTGGCAAAAAGTACCAAGCGCCATCGGTGGTCGGATTTCTTGCGGTACAGCGCAACTTTGCGAGTACAGATGTATATGTATATCCTTTCGGAGCTGGTTTTGCAAAATCCCGGGGGAAAAAAAAAAAAAAAACCAACGCGCCTGCTCGAGGCAATGGTGCACCATATAATTGGCAGTAAGTATGTATTGTCGTGGTGCTCGTTTTTTGTTCATCATCTCGCGCAGCGGCCAACAAATTTAATGCCGGGCCCCACGACTCCGCGTGGACTTGCAAAGCACGCGAGATCCGCAGCAGCAGCTTTCGCGTGAGCACACCAGCCTGCACGGCTACATACATGTATATACACCACCGCCAAGTTGGGGCTACCAAGGATACGCCGGAGCTTACTGTTCTCACGGGCAGGGGGAAAAAAAAAAAACAGGAAAACTTGCCGAGGACACTTCTATACACACAAGCAGGTTCAATATATTTATCATTACTCATAAATGTATGATCATGCCCCGTGCACGTTGGGTAGGAGATAATATACGAGATACTAGCAAAAAGTGTGCGGATCGTTCGAGCTTTTTTCACGGAAAAATCATTGGACGAGTTTTTTTTTTTTTTTTGCTCAAAACTATTAATTTTCCGCCAAAAAAAACAACGATCCTCCTGTATGCGGTCGCCGAGGTAAGGCGCGATATTTTTCCAACGAGCTTTTTTCCCCGCAAACGACAATGGCACCTGTGCATATACCCATACGCCAATACCGATGCGAAGGGGCAGGCGGACTTTTACGAGATAAAAATCGCAGAGTCAACAAGTTATTGGGGCGCTCTTTCGATGATCTGCATCCATGGGATCTGCGCCACGGTGTATACAGGCTGTTTGAGGTACTTCAAGAGCCTGTATATACGCATACAAAATGTATACTTTGTTGGGGCGGTGAAAAGCCGGAGACTAAGCCGCGGCAGGGAGAGGATTAATGATCAATGGGCCAGTCGAAGCTGCGTGACACACGTCGAGGACGCCAGGCGCTCCGTAGGGTGTCAAGGGACCTTAAACACATTGTGGGTATACGTATACCTATAGTAAACGCGAACCAAGGTAATAGCTTGGCTGTGTGCTTGTGTGCATATATATATACCATTCAGTTCTTTCTTAGCTCGGATGACGCCAGAAGAGAATTTAAACAAACAACCGTCCAGCCTCCTCTTACCTGTTTCTGCCAATGTGGCTATTGCCCGTTTTAACTCGGAAATATATATATAGTGGAAAAAAAACCAATATATACATTCATTCAAGTATTTCGTGAGGCAAGGAAAAGAATTTTTCCTACATAAATACATATTATACATTATTTTTCTTACTCTCTACTGTTACATTATGTATTTATGTACAAAACACGTAATTTTTTTTATTATACTTATATTGATGTCACCGCATATACGTACGTTGACCGGATCATGTATATAATTTTGCAGCGATGGAAGGGGTGTGAAAATAAAATTATACGCGTTTGAATCGATAATAACAGCAATCACGTGAATATACATCAAGCATGTGTACCAATAACAGCAGCAGCGGCAGAAGAATATTATTTTAGAGTGAATCTCGGCTGAGCAGAGTTGCACTGCGCGAAAATGGGTGTACAATGACAGAATACATTGTATGGACCCACGACCTACACCGAGAGGGGGGAGGAGGAAAATTAAAGTATACTAGACGTAAGGGCTGAAAGGGATGGCAAGAAGCTCGAAGACTGCGAAAACTCGCCGTGCCGCGCGAGAGAGGAAGACGAGGGGGATGGGAGCCACGAACCCCCCGGCGACGCGCGAACGGAGCCAGTGGCGCGCGCGCGCGCGCTCTCGGGGCCGCAGCATCGGGATTTGATGTATCTTCGACACACACCTATACACGTTACTCGGGTCTCCGGGAGGGGGGCAGGTGGGCTGGGTTTGGCCGCCGCCCCTCGGACACCATAATATCGCGGTGTCGGCGAATGGGCGAGCGCCGGTGACGGGCGTCGAGGGAGGGATAGCCGCGCGCCAGCCAATCCGGGTGACGGGGTGGGCGGTCGCGACCGGAGCGCCTCGATGTGGCTGGTCGGGCAAACTGCCGGGCTGCGGGCTCGGGGAGAGACTCGGGCTTCATTATGTGTCATTATACCGGTTCACGCCGCGCGGTGTGCACTCTCCCGTTGTGTCCATGGTGGTGTTGTGTTGTTATTGTTGTTGGCAGCTTAACAACTCTTGGGCGAGGCGCGCGTGCTCGTTCAAACGCTCTTATCAATAATACTACGGCGTAGCTGTTCTCGGATTTACTTTTTTGTTGTTTTTTTTTTCTATCTCTAAATATTCGTTACACACGTGCGTGAGCCAACCTCGAAACAAAAGTGGCACCCATCGACTGTTACAACCTTGTGTAATCATCGGCGCCGTCGGTTCGGTGCTCCCGGAACACATGAACTCGTTCGGGAGGCTGTACGATCTGCCCCCTCCTCCGGTAAGTGCGGGCCATCGGTGCGACGGTAGTATCCTGATCTCCCAACCCGAGGTGGGATTTTGTTTCCATTACTATACTGACAAACGGTGTCAATAAGTAATCATTAATAATACGTCGTTCACTGCAAGTGCATGTGCGTGTATGTGCATCATCTAGTGTGGGTGTGTGCTTCGACGAGCTCCGGAGGGACCATCGTTGCAAAAAAAAGTGTAGACTGGCGTCAGCTGGACCCAAAGTTGTAAGATGCGGATCGTGCGACGAGAGAGTCGACAGCGACTCGACGCTGTGACAAAGAGCTGACCCGGATTCCTCGAATACTGTTGTTATTGTTGTTTCGATGTTGCTGTTGTTATAGTTGTTGCTGTTGTTGTTATTATTTGTAGACAATAAATAGTGCTGGAGCCTCGATTTTTGTGATAGTAAGGTAATAATAAAAAAATAATCAGTACAGTGCAAGAGACACCTGGGGTACGACTCGAGAGCTCCGATTTACCCGATTGGTATAGGAAGGTGACAACGATGCTCCGAAATATTGCCTAGTGATTGTTGTCGTCGTCTTGGTACAGCCGGTGTAGAGTTTGTGGGTCGACCGTTGGTGCGCGGTGCGTTGATTGTCGCACGCGACGGTGGGCTACGTTGGCCCGGGGAGCACCGGAGGGAGACTGGCCCCTCGGGACCGAGAGGCGGAGGCGAGGCGGCGGCGGCTGCGAAGGCCCGACTGCGACTCGGTCGCGTCTACGGTGGATCTTCGGGGCGCCACGACGACGCTCAACTTCACGGACCTGGGGAGCCCTTTCGGGGCGGGCGACCCCTGTCCATCGAGCACCCCGACCCCGAACAGCATGTCCGGCGGCGGTGCTGGCCCAGGACCCACGGGCGGTCCGTCGGCCGGTAGCGCGCCCAGCGCACCCCCCGCCGGCTCGGAGCTCGAGCAACACCTGCACCACACCGGGCTGGGCTCGGTAACCCCCGGCCCGGGTGGCAACGACAGCGCCTCGAGCACCCCTGTCTCCCAAACCGGCAAGTCGGCCTTCATCGAACTCCAACACAACAACCTGTACAACCCGAGCGGCCTGAGAGCAGCTGCCGGTTACCCGGGCGGTCCGCACAACGTGCCCGGGGCCCACCAGTTCTCCCAACACGTGGGCGGACTAGCGGCCCACCAGGCGGCGGGACAGCCGGGCAACCAGCAACACGGACCCGAGCCCGGCTTTCCCAGTCCAAGGAGCGCCCTCGCTGGCTACCCGTTCGCCCCCATGCACCAGCACAACGCGTACGGTTACCACCTCGGCTCCTACGCGCCCCAGTGCCCCTCGCCGCCCAAGGACGGGGAATATCCAAACTGTACGTATTACCCCATTCAAGTTTGCGTGTATTTTTAATAAGTCGGTGTCCATGCCCAAGTATACATATGTATCGCTGTAGACGTGCATCGCCCGACTTTATCAAGTGTGCCGTTCAATCTCGAGTTTGCTCGCCATTTGTAAAGTATTAAAATACGGATAAGAACAAAAAAAAGCGTGACTGTTGGTTTGAGGTCGTTCGGTCTGGAAGTTAGGGAATCGAGTTTATAGGGGAGATGCGGGTGTGGCTGGCAGGGTGGGTAAACCTGGCACCCCTAATTTTTTCTTGATAAAAAAATATTTTCATCTAAATGAACCCAAAAACTATTATTCTAAACATCTTCTAAATTCCTCAGTAATTGGAAAGTCACAAAAAGTAACAAGAAAATTTCTTGGGTAACTTTAAAATCACAAGTAAAAAATGACGATCCTTCGATTTTTGTTTTCGTTGGACAAATGAAAACAAAAATGTTTTAGGCTATAAATCACATACCATCTTGTTGATTGAGTCTTCAACTTCAATTTGCGATTTTTTGCCATATTATTCGATGCAAAGGGAAAAAATTATGTTGATTTTAAATAAATATATCAGGTGGGGCAGAACCTGGCACCTACAAGAGGGCACAGCTGGCGTGAGAAGCCTCCTGCTCTCTGCAGACGATAGGTAGAAGTAAGCACGTATACTAACCTAATCTACAATGTAAACAAACCACAACCCTACTTTTAGTTAGTCATAGTTATTAGGTTGTACATAAGCTTTAGTTATCCGTTTAAGTTTAGGTAGCTTAATTATTATAATAGATTATTGCACTTAGATTAAAATGTAAGGATAAAGACAAATCTAAAATATGGGTCAAAGTAGATCAAATAAAAAAAAATTTTTCAAAGTATCATCGGGATTTGATGTATCTTCGACACACACCTATACACGTTACTCGGGTCTCCGGGAGGGGGGCAGGTGGGCTGGGTTTGGCCGCCGCCCCTCGGACACCATAATATCGCGGTGTCGGCGAATGGGCGAGCGCCGGTGACGGGCGTCGAGGGAGGGATAGCCGCGCGCCAGCCAATCCGGGTGACGGGGTGGGCGGTCGCGACCGGAGCGCCTCGATGTGGCTGGTCGGGCAAACTGCCGGGCTGCGGGCTCGGGGAGAGACTCGGGCTTCATTATGTGTCATTATACCGGTTCACGCCGCGCGGTGTGCACTCTCCCGTTGTGTCCATGGTGGTGTTGTGTTGTTATTGTTGTTGGCAGCTTAACAACTCTTGGGCGAGGCGCGCGTGCTCGTTCAAACGCTCTTATCAATAATACTACGGCGTAGCTGTTCTCGGATTTACTTTTTTGTTGTTTTTTTTTTCTATCTCTAAATATTCGTTACACACGTGCGTGAGCCAACCTCGAAACAAAAGTGGCACCCATCGACTGTTACAACCTTGTGTAATCATCGGCGCCGTCGGTTCGGTGCTCCCGGAACACATGAACTCGTTCGGGAGGCTGTACGATCTGCCCCCTCCTCCGGTAAGTGCGGGCCATCGGTGCGACGGTAGTATCCTGATCTCCCAACCCGAGGTGGGATTTTGTTTCCATTACTATACTGACAAACGGTGTCAATAAGTAATCATTAATAATACGTCGTTCACTGCAAGTGCATGTGCGTGTATGTGCATCATCTAGTGTGGGTGTGTGCTTCGACGAGCTCCGGAGGGACCATCGTTGCAAAAAAAAGTGTAGACTGGCGTCAGCTGGACCCAAAGTTGTAAGATGCGGATCGTGCGACGAGAGAGTCGACAGCGACTCGACGCTGTGACAAAGAGCTGACCCGGATTCCTCGAATACTGTTGTTATTGTTGTTTCGATGTTGCTGTTGTTATAGTTGTTGCTGTTGTTGTTATTATTTGTAGACAATAAATAGTGCTGGAGCCTCGATTTTTGTGATAGTAAGGTAATAATAAAAAAATAATCAGTACAGTGCAAGAGACACCTGGGGTACGACTCGAGAGCTCCGATTTACCCGATTGGTATAGGAAGGTGACAACGATGCTCCGAAATATTGCCTAGTGATTGTTGTCGTCGTCTTGGTACAGCCGGTGTAGAGTTTGTGGGTCGACCGTTGGTGCGCGGTGCGTTGATTGTCGCACGCGACGGTGGGCTACGTTGGCCCGGGGAGCACCGGAGGGAGACTGGCCCCTCGGGACCGAGAGGCGGAGGCGAGGCGGCGGCGGCTGCGAAGGCCCGACTGCGACTCGGTCGCGTCTACGGTGGATCTTCGGGGCGCCACGACGACGCTCAACTTCACGGACCTGGGGAGCCCTTTCGGGGCGGGCGACCCCTGTCCATCGAGCACCCCGACCCCGAACAGCATGTCCGGCGGCGGTGCTGGCCCAGGACCCACGGGCGGTCCGTCGGCCGGTAGCGCGCCCAGCGCACCCCCCGCCGGCTCGGAGCTCGAGCAACACCTGCACCACACCGGGCTGGGCTCGGTAACCCCCGGCCCGGGTGGCAACGACAGCGCCTCGAGCACCCCTGTCTCCCAAACCGGCAAGTCGGCCTTCATCGAACTCCAACACAACAACCTGTACAACCCGAGCGGCCTGAGAGCAGCTGCCGGTTACCCGGGCGGTCCGCACAACGTGCCCGGGGCCCACCAGTTCTCCCAACACGTGGGCGGACTAGCGGCCCACCAGGCGGCGGGACAGCCGGGCAACCAGCAACACGGACCCGAGCCCGGCTTTCCCAGTCCAAGGAGCGCCCTCGCTGGCTACCCGTTCGCCCCCATGCACCAGCACAACGCGTACGGTTACCACCTCGGCTCCTACGCGCCCCAGTGCCCCTCGCCGCCCAAGGACGGGGAATATCCAAACTGTACGTATTACCCCATTCAAGTTTGCGTGTATTTTTAATAAGTCGGTGTCCATGCCCAAGTATACATATGTATCGCTGTAGACGTGCATCGCCCGACTTTATCAAGTGTGCCGTTCAATCTCGAGTTTGCTCGCCATTTGTAAAGTATTAAAATACGGATAAGAACAAAAAAAAGCGTGACTGTTGGTTTGAGGTCGTTCGGTCTGGAAGTTAGGGAATCGAGTTTATAGGGGAGATGCGGGTGTGGCTGGCAGGGTGGGTAAACCTGGCACCCCTAATTTTTTCTTGATAAAAAAATATTTTCATCTAAATGAACCCAAAAACTATTATTCTAAACATCTTCTAAATTCCTCAGTAATTGGAAAGTCACAAAAAGTAACAAGAAAATTTCTTGGGTAACTTTAAAATCACAAGTAAAAAATGACGATCCTTCGATTTTTGTTTTCGTTGGACAAATGAAAACAAAAATGTTTTAGGCTATAAATCACATACCATCTTGTTGATTGAGTCTTCAACTTCAATTTGCGATTTTTTGCCATATTATTCGATGCAAAGGGAAAAAATTATGTTGATTTTAAATAAATATATCAGGTGGGGCAGAACCTGGCACCTACAAGAGGGCACAGCTGGCGTGAGAAGCCTCCTGCTCTCTGCAGACGATAGGTAGAAGTAAGCACGTATACTAACCTAATCTACAATGTAAACAAACCACAACCCTACTTTTAGTTAGTCATAGTTATTAGGTTGTACATAAGCTTTAGTTATCCGTTTAAGTTTAGGTAGCTTAATTATTATAATAGATTATTGCACTTAGATTAAAATGTAAGGATAAAGACAAATCTAAAATATGGGTCAAAGTAGATCAAATAAAAAAAAATTTTTCAAAGTATTTTTTTACATATATGTAAGTATTTTTTAAGTGTTACTCAGATACATGTTTGTTTAAAGTTTCAACTATAACCGAAGATTCAATCATTGTGATGAATAGTTGTGATAAAAAAAATCAATAAAGGTAATACGCGTTTACTTAGTTATTTAATTTGCACTGTCTTTATTACTCGATATGTATCATTTACCTATTCTTAATTATTATATGGCCATATACATCTATATAATGGTCTGCTTCTGCTGCCAGTTCTGCCCCACCGTCCTGCCAGCTCTGCCCTGCTAGTAGGCACAACTGGCAGTTTTCAAGGATCTTGGCATTCATTCGATATAAAGAAAAGTGAATGAATTAATCTTGATTAAACTATTACATTCCTTTATATTCACGTTAAACTTTAAGATAAATTTTTTGTAATTTTAAAAGATTGTAATATAAAATTACAGTAATCAACTAAAGTTAGAGTGCCAGCAACCCCCGCATCTCTCCTACAGCCGAGGAGTGACATTCGCGAAGCTGCACGAGCGGCTAAACATATTTAATATTGTAACGTGCGGGTGGTTGAGCCGCGGAACTTTGCGATGGTTTGCATGACGAGGCGGCTGCTTCTTCGCGAAAGAAATAAAGATAGAGGAGGGATCGATACGCGCACGCCAAGTCGCGAGCCACCCGTTTTGCAATGTACAAGACTCTGCATAATCACGTGTACCGATCCCGAATGAATATTTTTAGCCACTATCGCGATTCCCATGAAAATAAACTTTTTTGAGCTTCGGGGCGCGTAGAAAACGTAGTTGAAAACGGAATAAATCTTGGGACAGTAGACTCGAGGGGGTTTAAATATCGGGCTCATCTTTGACACGGGCAAAATGCGCTATCCTGCGTCTCTCCGGGGTGTCCGAGCTCGTAAATTTTCCACCATTCGGACGATACACAGCTTATGCACACAAAGAGACTTGCCTAGACGAGAGAAAAAATATCATCTTAGTGGGTAGTAGCGGACCTGTGGTCTTTCTTCTACCTTTAGACATATACCTTGCAAATGGAAAAGGTGCGACAGACGATACAAGAGAGCAGGTAGCTCCGAGAAAAAATATATACCAGTGTTGACAGTTACTCTGTTTCAAATTTTTTTAATGTCATTTTTACGTCGGTGTACAGTGTTGTGTTGTAAAACTTGTAGGACAAATTTTGAATTACCTAACGTGGCACGTGATACTTACATATGCTTAAAAATAAACGCTAAAATGATAATCCCCATTTCTCACGGAATTCATTTTAATAGAGTCTCATAAATTTACACCTGCGCACTTCAATGCATGTAAAAATACAAGCGGTAATCGGTGTACTGTAAATAAATAATGCGCACGTGCTGCAGATCGTTTTATGAATACAGCCCGGCAACTGTACATTTATCCAGAATTTAATAAATATATGCTTCCAACGAAACCCGTCGCGCTTTCCTAAAAACACAAGCGCGCAAAGTCGAGCTCGGGGGTTTCGCAAAAAAACCAAACTTTAGACAACTCATTTAAATTTCACGCTGCAATATTTCCCTGCATTTCCCACTCGGTGGTTGCATTTATAAGTATAAATAATCGCTCGAACCGCAGCAGCGGCAGATACACGGAGTTATATTTTTAAATCGCCCTTCCGTGCCTCTATACTCGTGCGGTTGTACATCACATGACTCACCAGGGGAAGTGCATGGATGTATTAATACGCGCTTTCCTCGCTTGCAACCCTTTGGGGCACTGCGGGTAATCGAGGCAGCGATGGGGGGAAAAAAACAACAACATAAAATTTTCTGGGGAAAAAAGGAAAAAGTTGCAAACTTTGCGCTTGACCCTCTGCGGTCGGGTACCGATGTGCACCCGCCGACGTCGTATCGGCAATCGGTTCGCGGAGCGCGTGAATTCTTGATGGAAAAGAGTTGAAATAAACATCACAGCGCAATCATCGGTCTTTTGTGGTTTCAAGAGTTCAATGATGATTGCCCGTCGCCCCGTCCAGTCGCTATTGAAAAAAGTTTTTCTCGTTGCAGTTTGCTAACTCGGCTAACTTAATACATTTATAATGACAGATGTGTGCGCACTGCTCGCTTCCCCATCGACGACGACCATTACACTAGATATGTAAAAATAATTCGTTCAACGAGGAGGATAACGTGTAGTTTCGCCTCCTCCCCGGTTAACTCTGTTGTTCGGATTTTGCCTCTTTTTTTTTTTTTTTAATTTCTCGCACGCAATTCTGGTACCAAAATACGCATAGCAGCTCGACTGCGAATTATTTTCCTACTTCGTGTCACGCGCAGCTCGGGGTTCCAATTAGATATACATCGTAGAGTCGAACAGAAACGGCACTGCGTCACGTAAGCTCGTTAAAATCTCCAAACTTGAAAGAAAAAAAGAAAAAAAAGCGCTTGTTAGGTATTTTCATTTATATATTTATAACGTGGGTATAAGTAAAAGAAAGCGATGAGGATTTGTTGATTTTGCGGTTAGCCTGTACACTCAAACTCGTGAGGTATAAATTTTCTCACACATCATTAATAACGATGTTGTAAAAAAAAAAAATAAATAAATAAAAAACAAGACATCACGATGCATCGGGGGGGGGGGGGAGTGTAAAAACGGAAGCACAAAAATCCTCATAAGATTGATAAGCGGAGGGAGACTTGACCTACTCACACTACACGCATCACAATATAACACCCTCGGTGGCGGCTGCCGTTAATATCTAGAAATCGAAAGAAGCTGTCGACGTATTTTTAGTGTCCAATTAACGCAGCGGGGGCTAATGCCTCGTAATTCTTCGGAATGCAGGGGCTGAGAGAGAGAGAGATATGGCAAAGGGAGCGAGTATATATATATATATATTATATACAGAGAGAGGCGCAGCAACAACAGAAATAAAAGAGCAAAGGAGAAGAGAAAAGACCTACATTAGTATAGTCCGTGTGTGTGTGTGTGTGTGTAGCTACCGCTGAGAGTTGTGATGGCTGCTGTATGGCCCGAGAGTCAGGTGATGGCGTGGGGTGAATTAATCCAGGACGGACAGATAAATCGCTGTTTTCACGAGGATTAGAGCACCGGTGCCGGCTGCTACCGGTTTCTTTTCGCCGCCGCGCTAAATACACAAATATACAGAAATAAATGACCGATGCGCGGCTTCTGTTTTTTACTTGCATCCGATATCGCCGGGGCACACGAGAGACGGGAATGAAGAGATGCGACCGACGGATAGGCCCTAGATGTACACCTCACGCCTTATATATACACCTTTAGAAAAGTGCACACGTGCGTGCACCTACTCTGCGGGAGACAAAAAATGATTCCTCAGAAGAATATACGTATAGCACCTATCGTCGGTGCAGCTGATTAATGGAAAAGATTATCGGGAATCGTTTGTCGCGCGTTTTCCCCCCCCCCCATTATGGGTACTGTTGCGGCTACTGTCTTACTCGTGACGCCTTGTTTTTTGTTTGTATTACATCAGCCGATTGGTATATAGTGATCCCAGACAATGATTAAAATTTTAATTCACGTGTCTGCAACTGCTGACAGCGGTCAAACAGATCAGTGGCAGATGAGGTACATACCTACCTATACGCATTTACGTACAAGTGGTGCGATTATTACGGTGAAACACATCAAGAAACAGCGCTAGGTCGCGATAAGCGCGAATCGGCCGGTCATTAGCCGCGATGATTGATTCGCTCGCACTGTATACTGCCGGCGCTTAGCTCTTTAATTGTCTGCTCATGCATAAGCACCCGTGTGAGAGTTGGCGTCGTACTTTATACTTGCACGGGCGTTGGGGTGAAAAGCAACCGAGTTGGGAATTAAGTATCGAGCGGCGTTTCGTCGAGAGCATCGTCGTCAATTAACCAAGTTTGATGCACCGCTGCTCATAGCTATTGTATAGTATGCCACGTAGTAGAGCTGCGGATGTAAATTGAGCGATTAATTGTACACGCGTATCGGTTGTCCCGTGCGCTCGTGCCAAGCCGCGGTTTACTTTTATCTAGATGCATATACCTATACCTACGTCACACTTGTATGGTTATACCCGTTGTATCCCGTTTTTACTTGAAATGACTGTACGAAAAAAGAAAGGGGAAAAAAAATTAAATTGAAATTGGTTTGGAATGCTGTGATTGATTATTCTGTTGTTTCGCGGGACAGATCTTTCGCCCCTGGACAACAAGAGCGGCATAGTCGACGACCTCGGCGGCGGAGGTGGCGGATCGTTGAGGAACGGCAAGGGCAAAAAGATGCGAAAACCGAGGACGATTTACAGCAGTTTGCAGTTGCAGCAGCTCAACAGGCGGTTCCAAAGGACGCAGTACCTCGCCCTGCCCGAGAGAGCCGAGCTTGCAGCGAGCCTCGGACTTACGCAGACGCAGGTAAGCACCGAAACATTTTTTTATTTGCCTTCTTATCCCCTCTATTGATATATTTATACACGATTTTCATACGAGTTTTCTTTACACTGCGAGAGTTTTCGAGTTAATTACCCGAGGCTATAGTTTTCGACAACTCTTCCAATTAAAAATGCACAGACTTTACACACGTAACAATCGTCTTTGGCTATCTCGAACCCGTTGTCCTGTAAGAGTAGAATAATTCTTTATTAAGGCTAGGGATGATCCCTCGAGGTCCATGATATAGGCTTTGTACAGTGCCTTAGGAGGCACACTCACAATTTCGGAGTCAATATCTATACATGGAGGTGTATTGTAATTGACTTTAATGTAAGTACAATTAATTGATAGTGAAAAAAATAAAACAATTCAACAAAAAGTGTACCCATAAATGAAATTTAAAAAAAGTTTAGTACTAGAAAAAAATAACCTACAGCAAAAGCCCGTAATAAGGGTATCGCGTTGCAAACAAGTACCGTACACGTGGGGGGGTGGTGGTGGTCTGCCGTACCAGATCGAGTGTCGCGTCTCCGCGTCGGGGGCGAGTGTCCAGCGTCTAAATCAGAGTCCGGCGATTCGCCACGCCTCGGACATCGAAGGGAGGTACGTGTCGCGTAGGTATACACACGGCGTACATGCACTAACGAGACGCTCATAAATTCATAGATCATCCTTTTGTCTCTCTCGAGTTTCAGTCCAAGAACGGCGGTGGTGGCGCGGTCGTATCCCTCGGACGGTTTCCGGTTCGCAATTTATGGGAGAAAAGTCGCCCGGCAATTATCGCGCCGGCCGCTAATTTGAGGGACTTGTCGCGCACGACATATATTACACATGTTAGTTGTACTCCTCTTTCTTCTCCTCATCCGTGCAGGTCATCGTGGTCAGTTGCTCGAGGGAGACACTCGAGGAGCCGGAAATTCGTGCAAATTGTCAGAAATTCTTCTTTTATCATCAGCCCCCTTTCTTGAGCTGGCGCTTCCTCTTTTGGGACGCAGTGGCAGTACATACATACGCACCAGTGGTGGACGCTTGGTTTGATTTTCCGAGGAATGCCGGCTCTTTTGTGTGATCACGTGCACCCGCGAGCCCGAGGGATCCACGTTTGACGGAAATTGTTTATTTACGCGCTCGTCACTGTATAGCCAAGGATGGCGTGACTATATCATCAATTGGACAAATTTCTTAATTGCCGAGTAACAAGTATAGTTGCGTGGTGCTGGGAAAATTTTCGTCCAACACCCGTTGTTGTCATTTGTTTGCTTTTTGAGATTGCGTCGTTTCGAGTAACACTTAACGATTACATTTTAGTTTTCAATTTCTTACAACGTAACTTACCACATAGACGCGTAGACGTGTGCATGAAAAAAACGCTAATACATTACATTGTGATTTACGGGCGGGGAGGCACACAAGTTGTATAGCTTCAACAGTCGAGGGATGTAAATTAATGTTAAGCGCCGTCACGGTACGATTGAAAAGAGAATTTTTTTCCATTGTAGGTATATACGCCGCGAGTGTACGTACTATATATTAGGTTGGAGTAAAAAAAAAAAAAGCTCGTGACTCCGATGTAAATACCTACAAGTCCAAATTAGTAACGTCGGAGGAGTTGAGTATGTATAATTTATACTTGTACCTTATCGGCGATCTCTCAACACTTTTTCATGCTTCAAACGCAACTAGCATATTCTGACATATACCTTGCCATAATACTCGCAATTAATCAGCAGTCCGAAGAAACAGTACACAAAAAACAGGTGGAAAAAAAAAATGCACGAGTATATCCATCATTCGTTTTTCTCAAAAAATGAGAAACAGGGAGGGGAGGGTCTAGAAAAACGAGAAAAGCCGCGCTTGCAACAATCGGAGTAACGATGGAGAAGGGGGGCACGCGCAAAGTTTTAATGAACGTGGCGCTCGAAAATTTAGTGCCGAGCATAGTGGCTATATGACCGTTCGATAGGGACTGCCCCTCACGTGTTACTCTGGACCGGATTGTTTGGTTCGAATAACCCCGACAGAAAGGAAATAAGTGTGAGGGAGAAAAAAGGATCATCCACTGCCCTACAGTGTGCATTTAGCACTGGAGTCTGGCAGGCGTTTATAACCTCAAAAATGTCTACAAGCATGACTAAGGATTTTAACAATTAGGATTTCGTACGGACAAGCACTTGGTATTGTTGAGTTTAAATATTTTTACGAGGCGAATAAACTTTCAGTACATAAAGTGCAGTAGGACTTGCTTTGCTAACGTTTCTATTATCCAATATTTAAACAGTTATAGACTCGATGACGTACGCTTCCTCGCGTATTTTTTTTTCCTTAACAAAGTGGATTATTTTTGCTTTAAACAATTGTATTAAGCACCGTGTTAGAAAAGTTGTTAAAAAATAACTTTCTTGCATATGTCATTCATTACATTTTTAGCAATAAATGATTATCTTGAAAATTGGAAAAGTATCTGTGTGAAAGTCTAGATGAAGGAAATAAGAAAAAACAATAAAATCGAGTTATATTTTTACCATATTCACCATCCAGGAAAAAAAAAATCATGTTTGGTGGAAATTATAAGCTCTAATTTAAGCTGAAATGTTAAAAAAATTCTTTTTGTCGATTTGTCTTCAAATCAAAAAAGCAATCATACGAACCATCAAATAAAAAACCAAGTTTTTATTCATTCACTAACTGACCTAAACAATCTGCGAATTTAAGGACGTTCGGTAGATACAGATCCCTGTGATGAATCTTTTTGAAATTTTAACTAGACGTTTTTATTGTTGTTACAATGAAGCTGTTAAAATTTCAAGAGGTTCGTCTGTTTCGTTCCCGAGATATTGAATTTCAAAGTTCAGTTATTTTAACACGGTCACTTATGGGGAAACCTATAAAAACTCAGTTTAAAAAAAATTGGCGTGATAAATGTCTCCAATTTTTTTATATATCACAGATAATGTTATTAACTATATGTACACAAAGTTTCGCGACGATCGTCTGATTAGTTTATAAATAAAAAAATTAAATAATAGTTCGACAAAAAGCAACGGCAACGTCGCAAAAAGCGGGAAATTCAAAATGTTCCAGGACGTAAATCCTTAAATATTTGAATATTATGGTAGATATTTATGTATTTCTGTATAAAAAATAAGTTTATATATGTGTGTAAGTGTATGTACATAGGTTCCACCCGTACCCATTACGAAACAATGTATTGTAATAACACATATTTATTTTTCTTAATAAAATTTTTAATTTGTAATTTTTATACAATATAATTTTTTTACACAAGATAACAAAATCATAATTATGCTTGTAGTAATCGCAGAGACTAGAGTCTGTCCTAATTATTTAACATATCACTTTCAATGAGACTTTTCAAATCACATTAAAATTCAAGAATTTTATTTACATTAGCTACGAATGTAATTGTATGTACATATATCTGTCACAAGTCTTTTTAATTATTTACTCATTTTTATTACATTGTTATAACGAATAAAAATCAAATACTTACATCTTTAGCACAAATACGTTACAAATATACACATACGCTGCCGTAACCGACGCAGCAGACAGTGCAGACACTGCAGAGTGCACACCACCTGATGTGTGTATATATGTGTGTACATGAACACTCATACATTGGAGACCCGTGCGGCGATGCCAAGTCTTCACTCATCGCTACCTTCCCCCTTGCCCCGCAAGTGGTTCCACCCCGCTATCTCTACCGAACGTCCTTAAATCTAGCCAAGAAATTTTCTTATGGTAAAAAAATTTATACTTTGAGTTCTTTACAAGAAAAAATTTTATTCTGAGCTACATTGTAACTGAAATAGTGGGACCATAACTCAATTGAAAAAAACTCAAATGTTGAGGTTTTAATTTCGCAAAAATAGGCATGTTGTAACATAAATCGTTTTACGCAGAATGTAATTTTTAATTTGACATTACTCAAAAGAAAAGTATGAAATAAAAAACTTTTCAGTATAGACTGGTATATTACAAATGCTTTAATATTAAATTATTTGCTCTACATCATAATTTATATAGTCATGACTAAGCAAAATATTTTAATTATACATATAGTCACTTGCTTGGCTTGTATATATTTTCGAATTTCCACATGCGTATTAATTAACTTTCATTATCGTGTAGTCTACTGTTATATTATTTCATATCTTGAAACTAGCTCGAAGGTACAGTCAAAACAGATAAGATCTGATGCATTTGAAAAGAAACAAAAAAACTTTTTTCAGTAGAGTTACACGTACGAGAAAAAGAGGTTGAATTGTGACAGGAGGCGAAGGGTGCCCCGTCCTCAAGGCTAGCCTCGCCCTCGTAAATTTTCCCATGTACTTAACAGTTCACACGTATGGTCACTCCAACGCGATATACCTATCACAGCGTATTGTGTTGTCCCATTGCGTGAGCGAGTGTGTACAATGTGTGCTGCACCTTTCCTTTTCTTACTACTCTGTACCTTGTAGAGGAGGCACTCCTTTATCGAGCACATATAGGTATATATACCATATTATAATTATATTATATTATTTTATACACGCCATGCGTAAATATCCAAGACGTACAGCCTATGGCATCTTACTTTTTTTCCTTTTCCCGATCTTGTCCTCCGCCATCTCAGAACACGAGTTCCAAATCGTATGTACTTACCTTGAGCGACCATATGCGCAGAGATAACACTTCTTTTTCCCATTGGTCCGGACAAGAGTTCAAAGTGATAATGGGCGTACATATCTACATGCTTATACATCCTATAAGCTTGAAGTCACGCGTTACCCTACATTTTCTTTGTACCACACTCTCCTAGACCTAATTTTATTTCGACACGATAACGCGATTAGCGTAAAGTAATCATTTAATTGCATTATACTTTTTTTTAAAAATAACATCTATAATATGGTTACAACACAAAAGCTTCTCAGTTGAAGATTGAGTATTTCTATTACACTTGCGCAATATTTCAT